CCCAGGTCCTTTCCTGCCTGGGCACTGCCCAGCCACACTGTCCCCAGCCTATAACGCTGCAGGGGGTTGTTGTGGCCAAAATGTAGGACTTGGCACTTTGACTTATTAAACACCATTTTACTGGACTCTGCCCATCCATCCAACCATTCCACATCTCTCTGCAGAGCCCTCCTACCTTCCAACACACTCCCAGCTTAGTGTTGTCTGCAAATGTGGTAATGAAAGACTCAATCCCCTCATCCATGTCACCAATAAAAATATTGAACAGAACTGGCCCCAGCACAGACCCCTGAGGGACACCTCTGGTGCCTGGCTGCCAGCTGGGTGCAGCACCGTTCACCACCACTCTGGGCCTGGCCATCCAGCCAGTTCCTAACCCAGCACAGAGTGCTCCTGTCCAAGCCATGGGCTGCAGCTTTTCCAGGAGTGTGCTGTGGGAGATGATGTCAAAGGCCAAAGGCTGAAGTCCAAACAGACAACACCCACAGCCTATCCTGCATCCACCAGGTGGGTCACCTGGTCATAAAAGGAGATCAGGTTGGTCAAACATGACCTACCCCTCCTAAACCCATGCTGGCTGGGTCTGATACCCTGCCCACCTTGTAAGTGCTGTGTGATGACACTCAGTATAAATTGCTCCATTGCCTTACCTGGTACTGAGGTCAGGCTGACTTGCCTGTAATTACCAGGATCCTCCTTCCCACCCTTTTTGTGAATGGGTGTCACATTGGCCAGCTTCCAGTCATCTGGAACCTCACCAGTGAGCCAAGACTGTTGGTAAATGATGGAGAGTGGCTTCGCAAGCTCATCTGCCGGCTCCCTCATCATCCTGGGATGGATCCCATCTAGGCCCATAGATTTATGAACATCCAGTGGCTCAGCAGTTCTCTGACTGCCTCCTCCTGGATCACAGGGGGACCATTCTGTTCCCTGGCACCATCTACCAGCTCAGGAGGAGAGCTGTCCTGGGGACAAGGCATCTTCCCACTAAAGACTGGCATGAAGAAGGCATTAAGCACTTCCACCTTCTTCTCATCTGCAGTTACTGAGTTCCCTCCTGCATCCAGTAGAGAACAAAGGTTGGTCTTACCCTTCCTTTTGCTATTAATATATTTGTAAAAACATTTTTTATTAGCCTTTACAAAAGTTGCCAAATTAAGTTCAAACTGAATTCGGCCTCTCTAATTTTTTTCCTACATGCCCTAGCAACCCCCTTAAATACTTCCTGAGGGACCTGACCCTCCTTCCAAAGATGATACATCCTTTTTATTCCTAAGTTCCTCCAAAACCTTGTTGCCCATCTAGGCTGGATGTTTGCCTCATCGGCTCATCTTACGGCACACAGGGACAGTGTCTTCCTGTGCCCTCAGTATCTCTCTTTTGAAGCACACCCACCTTTCCTGGACTCCTTTGTTTTTAAAGGCTGCTTCCCAAGGAACTCTCTAAGTCTCCTGAATAGGCCAAAGTCTGCCCTCAGAAGTCTAATGTAAACGTTTTATTGATGTTCCTCCTCGTTTCACCAAATATCGAGAACTCCATAATTTCATGATCACTCTTCCCCAAGTGGACTCCAATCACTACATCTCCCACCTCTATTTGAAAACAGCAGATCTAAAATAGCCCCTCCCCTGGTGGGCTCACTCACCAGCTGTGACAAAAGTTGTCCTCCACACACTCTAAGAACTTCCTGGACTGTCGCTGTTCTGCTGTATTAAATTCCCAGTAGATATCTGGTAGGTTAAAGTCACCTACAAGAATAAGAGCTGGTGATCCTGAAACATTCTCTATCTGCTTATAGAATAAGCTGTCCACCTCTTCATCCTGGTTGGGTATATGATATCAGACTCCCAGTAGGATATCAGCCTTGTTCACCTTCTTCTTAATTCTTACCCACAGGTATTCAGCTTCATTGTCAGCTTCATTAGTTTCAATACCCATGGCATCAAAAGCCTCCCTAATATAAAGGGCTACCCCTCCACCTCTTCTCCCTTTCCTGTCTCTTCTGAAGAGCTTGAGCCATCCAGTGCAGTGCTCCAGCCATGTGAGTCATCCCACCACATCTCCATGTTGCAATTTGTATTCATTCAGAACTACACTCAATTTAACACAGCTTTTGTTTATATAATGGGATACAAAGCTCCCCCTACTCCAAGATGATGAGAACAGCCAGCCTGAAAAACAGCATTTAATGTCTGAAGGAAGAGCATGGCAAGATTTGTGAGGCAGTGTTCAAGAATGGCCTCCTTATAAAGTGAAGATTTTGTAATGGGTTTCCAAAAGACATGCTATAAATGCTTTATTTGACTTTTTAATTTGCTTATGCTGAACAAAAAAGAGGAGTTTCAAGCAAAAGTATTGTGACACACTGGAGATTAGACACCATTCCTTTAAGGGGTTACACTTCTTCCTGTTTCTACAACCTAAGGAGAAATTAATTGATAACATATGGATGTGAAACTCCTCCCCCAAAGCCAATGGATCATTTGACTTGAGGCATGATCATGTTTTTGTAGAGATGCTCGAAGATACTGCTATGATCAACATTCACCACACTCGTACAGAAATGTAGAATTAATGAGTCCCAGCTTTTCTTCACCTGAGTTTCCTGACTCTTCCTCCTTGTCTTGCTGCTTCTTCCTTCTCTACCTTCCTTTCTTGATCCCCAAACAAGGACCACTGTCCCCTAATTAATTCTTCTTGCCACGGTTAGCTGTGTAAAGAGGAGCACAGCAGGTAGGCCTGTCTGCCTCAAACTGCATCTTTTCAGAATCACTTACATCCTCAGTCCTGGAATGACATCACAGAGAATGGCACCAGGTAGGATTATTAGTTTGGATGCTGTGCTGCTCTTCACTCACCCTCCTCCTCAGCAGTTAATGACTGCAAGCAAGATGTTTAGATAAAATGGTCTGCAAATTACCCAAGGGATAATTAAAAGGAAAAAAATTAGCACATATTACATTTCTAAAGGCAGAATGAGAAATAACAAAATGAAACAAAACAAAAAGCAATACCAAAACAGAATCAGGAGGGCAGGTGATCAGTCAGCTGTTCATGCACAGAGAACAGTTGACAAAAATACATGTGGGAATGGCAGTAATGTTTGCTTCCCACAGTATAAATCAACAGGGCTTTAAAACAAACAGAAAACTCCCCGAGATTGTCTGCTGGTTTGGGTACAGGCACACACACACACACCTCCCTACACAAACACACACACACACACACACACACACACACGCACACATTGCTTTTACCAGGAAAACAATCATGGTAACTAAATTCTACATCTGGACATTACAAGTTTTCAGACACAAATCTGTTCAGTTACAAATGTCAAACAGTGTGCATGTCTTTGAAAAATATAAATGGAAGGACAGCATACTTGATTAGCAGGTTGTTGTCAATCTCACAGAATCCATGTGTACAATACTAAGGCACACTATTTTAAGACAAATTAATCCATTATTATAGACACTAACAAGATTTTTATGTATTCTGTACACTCTCAAAAACGTAACTTATTTCTTCAAGATAGTAAAACTGGCTGCAGTGCATCTTTAGTAATTGTCAATTGCCTTCAGTATTTCTGTAATATGTGGTTGTACAGGCTAATCAATTAGTGTGACCCTATGTGTTTTCTTACCAATATAAATAATTCCATTGTAACTAAATCATCAGTTTTTAATAAGCTGTTTTTCCACTTTAGGCCTGAAGAGTGAGGAGGTTATGGACTTCTAGCATTTAATGAAAGAGAAAGCAGATGAAATAAAATGCCCTGCAGAATGCAGAAGACTTGACTTACCCTTGCTGTAAGGGTCATTTGCTCAGAAGTGCCTGTTACATACACCATCAAAATGTTAATACTAAAAAATTTAATATCCTGCAGTAAAAGCATGTCTACATAGACATCTTGAACTAAGTAATAAAAAAAAAAAGGTAACTGTTTTCATGTTCTTATCCTTACATTCAGTTAAAGAAGAAAAAGGGCCTTTATTTCATGAAAATTGTTTAGTGCCTTAAAAAACCCCTGAAGCAGACAACGTGACTGATTTTTGGCTGCAAAGAGGTCAGAGTTGGCCCCATCTGTATGCAGCCTTTAAATTATTTATTTATAGCAATTCTTAATAATTGATTTATGTACAATCAAAGCTACAGCTGCTACTCAGACCAGTTTGATTCAAATAAGTATTTTAACCATAAGGGCATAAAAAGTCTTAGATTGCTGCTTTAAGACTATGGTTTATTCCCCAGGTCAGACTGGATCATTTAATCAGATACCTTCACCTATACTGCTGTTGCTTGACATTCCAAAAACAAACCATGCACCAGTTCCATGAACACACCTCTCTGTAATAATTCCAAATATTGCTGCTGTGTTCAAACACAATTTGCTTGGCAGTGATTTAAAGCAAAAAAGAAACAGGAGAAGAGGACACAACCTCAAGTTGCACCAGGGGAGTTCTTCCTTGCAAGAGCGATTAGATTTTGGAATGAGTTGCCCAGCTCGGGGAGGTGGTGGAGTCAGCGTCCCTGGAAGTGCTAAGCAATGACTGGATGTGGCTCTCAGTGCTATGGTCTGGTTGATGGGGTGGTGTTGGGTCACAGGCTGTACTCCATGACCTCGGAAGTCTTTTCCAACCTGATTTCGTGACCCTTTCCCTTCCACTTGTGGGTGTTTTTACTATTTAACCTCGATGCTGCCTGGAGTCCCCATTGTGTGGCCCAAGCCTGAAACCCTGGCGCCTGCTCCTGTCCCCAGGCCGATGTCCTCGGCAGGAGCAAACTCAGGCAAACGCTGCCTTACCGCTGAGCGCCACACTCCGCGCGGCCCCCTGCGCCTCCACACGCACAACTGCGACCCCGGCGGGCCTGGGCAGGGCGAGGGGAGGGCACGGGAAGAGAGGACGGCACGGGAAGTGCGAGGGGAGGCCACAGAGGAGGGCGCGGGAAGTGCGAGGGGAGGCCACAGAGGAGGGCGCGGGAAGTGCGAGGGGAGGGTCCGGGAAGAGAGGAGGGCCCAGGCACGGCGGAGGGCGCGGGCGCTGTCGCGCTGTGCGAGCGTCACGAGCAGGGGCGGGGGCGGCGCGGCCGCGCTGCGGGAAGGGCGAGCGGGGTAAAAGGAGCCGGAGCGCCCGCGCTCTCGGGTAGGTGGGTGGCGGGAGGGACTGCAGGGGCCTCGGCCAGGCCGGCTGGCCTGGGGCGGGGCATCGCCCCCGGGCTGGGGAGAGCCGAGGAAGCCATCCGTCCATTGTGGGCGGGAGGGGAGAGTCTAGCGGGAAAGCCCATTCCCGAGTGTGTGGGGGGAAGTGGGCAGCGGCGAGAGTGGGTCAGGCCATTCCTGGCTCTTGGAGAAACCCGTCCCGACCGCTCTCACTGCGCTTAATTAATGCTGTCAATGAGGTATTAATCCACCGCAGCGCTGCTGCTCAGGGACCCACAGGTCCAGAGCGTAGCGATGACGCGGTTTCCCGTGGAAGTGTGACTGACTTGTGCTCCACGTTTCCTGCAGGATTCAGCGTTCCTGTCCCTCGCCTCCGCCTGGCTGAGCCAGAGCTCTTCGCCACTGCACTTTACAGCCTGGCACATTGATGGAAACAGATGTTGGTGGTGGTCCGAGGTGATGTATGACCGAGGAGCAGCAGGCCTCCTTTTTTGTTTTGCCACACTGCAGCTAACTGTGGCTGGCCTTGTATGTGGGATTTAAATAGCCTCTCCTCAAACAATCAGTTTTTCTTGAGTTAGGGCCTAAACTGTGTTCTTCCAAGGCTTCAGCTTTTAAGGACTTCAAAGGTTTGATGTAATTCTTAAGTGTAATCTGACATGCCTTGTCAGAAGACGTTCATTTGGGAAAATAAGTGTATGACTACAATTATGTATATTATTTTTAGTAGAATAGAAATGATAAGAAATTACTACTACTTCTACTAATAGAAATTACTAGAATCTGAAAAAAAGGATTGATCACAACCCTTGGTATTTCAAGCCTAAAGTTTCAGCTAGAACAATATATATTGTAGAATACATTTTAAGCAGCACACATGGTGTGTTCAGCTTGGGCTTTCTAACAGTTGCCATATTTATGAAGTCTCTAACAGATTGAATTCCAAGCTCTTTTCTTAAAGGACTATTTTCATCTTATATTGTGCCTGTTTTGCAGATATTTGTGGGGGTTAAAATATTTGAACTCCAGCTGAATAAAACAAGGGCTGAAAATTGAAGGATGGCAGCAAATCCTTCAGGACAAGGTAGGTTTTAATTTAAGTATTCAAGGAAAAAGTGAATGCAAAATATCAGTGAAGTCACCATAACTGTAAGTTTATTTTTATGGAAAGGTGAAGAAAGGAAAGAGAGATGGGGCTGAAAGCAGCAGAATGGCAGCAATTCTTCTGGGATGAGGTACACACATATTTAATGGTTAAAAAAGACCACTGATGGCTGGGAAGCTCTTCATTATTGAGCATAGTGTTGTGCTCAGGGTTAGGAAGTAGGTATCATGCCTGTGATACAGTGATCATTTCCTGAAGCTTATTTCAGGCACTTAAAACACTTGGCCTTTAGCATGACTTGCAGCTATTGCACTCAACATCAGAGAACAGCCAGAAATCAAATATGTTCCATGTCATGTTGGGAACAGCAAGACCCAGGCAGTAATATCTGTCACAGGCAATTGGCCAGGCCTAGGAGAAAAAGCCAGTTAAAATCGTAATGGTAACTGCGACGAAATGTTCCTTTTTACCAGGATGCATCTCCATTGTATCCTTAGAATAATAAAAATCTTAGTAATGGTCCATCTATCCAGGTAATGCATGTGCTTTAGAGGAGGCTGAGGGTCTGGAGGTGTCACCCAGTAAATTTGAAGGAGGATCTTAAATCGCCCTCTAGAGGTGTTTTCTGGAAACCTTAGGGGAACTCCGAGGCTTTTCTTGTATGGAGGAGCTGAGGAAAAAGCTTCTCAGGTATGGCTCTTCCTTACTTGGTTACGAGAAATGAATTCTGGGTTCAATTTCCCAGCAAGCAGAGACTTTTTGTAGGTCTGTCTTTGTGTCCTTACCTCAAGCAGTCCTGCAAACCTGGTTTTGCTGGAATATACTTCAGGGGGTATCATATGACTCATGTGGGTCCAAACGACAGATTTTACTTGCTACTTGATGAAAAGGAGGTAGTTTCAGGAGTGCTTTTTGAAATTTTGTGTGGTGTTGACAGAGAAGTACTGCAGATTGCAGAGCTGTCTGTTTGGAAATTTTAACTCTGATTAAGTTTTTGGTACATAATGGTAAATCTTGCTTTTATTCTGTGAATACCAAAATCGGCATCATTGCAAGGAATAGAATGTAGTCATAGAGAGTTAAAAGCTGCTTTTTCTTAAATATGTTGGTTTACTGAGAGATCAGATTTTATTGCCAGAATACCTTTGCTTCTCTCCCGATTCCAGAGTGTTACAATTTAATAGAGCCTTTTATATTTGAGATATCCTTTACAGACTCATTAAAGGAACCATGCCATTATTATTTGAAAATTGTTTGGATTGAGGAGACAAGAAACACTATCTAAAGTTTAATTACCAAATAAGCCTATATGTAGTCCAACTAGGAAAATTAGAAAGGAACAGGTAAATATAAACAACAGTTCAGAGTTTCTGTCTTTGCTAGATGCAGTCTGGTAGTGAAAAGGACTGTGGAAAACACTGCATTTTTAGCTTGCCTCTTGGCATATGTATTAGTATTGTTCAAATTAATCTATTCTTTTCACTTGGACAAAAAGAATACAAGTTTACTGAAATGCTCACCTGAAGGGTTATGAATGGTAGCACTTACTCAGGCAGAGTTGTAAGGATGAATTAAACATTAACCTTCTACACCCCAGGCAGACTGTGATCGTAACTTTTTGTACCAAATTACTGCTTTTCCTTTGATTTGTATAAGGTATTTTCTTAAGAGTAAATTTGAGTTTTCCATTGATAACAGACTTGGACTATAAAAGTTAAGATTTTTTGGACTAGGCTTTTATTCGCTGGCCTCTTAGAAAAGCACTCTTGGTGGTGAGCTGCATGCGAATGCAGAAAAACCAAGAAGAATTGAATGAAAAGCCTTATTTCAGTTCATTAGTACCACAGGGAACTGATGGCATTTTCAAGCATTGGAAGATCTTGCTGTATGCTGTGTGTTGTCCACCACATGCACTGATTGACCAGAGTGATACACTTTGAGGGGTGGAAATCAGCTTCTGAATTACAGCAAATACTTCCAGGTGCTCAGAGATACGCTGCTCCTACTGCAGTACTTCACAGTACTTAGGCAACATGCCATTCATCAGGCTGCTCTTGTGAAATGCCTTTGCTTGTGTGCAGCAGGGCCAGAGCCTTGCTGTGTGTAACTGAATTAGCCACTCTGTGTGTGAGCCCTCATCTGACATGAGAGAGATGTTACTGCTCAGGACAGAATTCTCATTTTGGTCCTCAGGTGTGGAAAAAGTACAGATCCTGCTTCAGACAGGGCTGAATGTTTCAGAAAATAAGAGTTCTGGTGTGTTGGAAGAAGAAGCTCTTGAAATATGAACAGAATTCTAAGTTTCAGGCTGCAGCAATTCTAAAGTCTCTTTATGTCGTAAAAGTTTTTTATGCTTTTCCCTAAAGGTATGTGGGGACATTCATAGAGCACAGTCTAAGTAGCTAGATTTGGCTCTCTGTTCACAGAGTCTGAAGAGGAAGATTGTGCTGTTCTGTGTTCAGTTATGTCATCATCTACGTGTTTTGCTCTTCCCCATCTGAGTCTGATCTGTGTGTAAGCATAGTACTTGAGAACTTTGCAGCCATACAGCTATCAGTTACTTATATTCAGCTATGTATGTAGCTCTTTTCTGGAGGCACAGACAAAATACTCATGTATTTTTAAGCAATTCAACTTAATTTACTGAATAACCAGTATACCTTCTGTTTCATTGTCACACAAAGTATATGAAAGCATATCCAGATGTAAACTGTTACTGAGAGTATTTGGCATGCAGCAGACTTTCAGATGATGTTTTGAGATGCCAGTCATCATAAGCAGAAGAGGCCATCGGAATAGAATTACTCCATTTCTTTTGCAAGTGGTGTGTTTAATATGGTCTTCAGAGTCTGCTTTTTAAGAGGATGCTGCCTCACTTCATGAATGCTGCCATTTATAGAAACATGCACTTCAGTAAAGAAATTGCTTTGAGTCCTTTCTGAATTGAGCAGGCAGGACAAAATGCAGTGCTTGTCAATGTTCAGAGGTTGGAGCTGACATACACGTAGAAAATGTTTTCAAAGCTATATCTTGAACACAAAGTAACAGAGGGCTTTTTAGCGCTGTTACACATCTACGGATAAAAGGTGCATCTTGGAAAAAACTTAAATGTGCTGTGAATCTGAAGCAACAAATCAAGGAAAGATCAAGGAAACAGATCATGGAGAAAAGATAATCAATGAAAAGCAAAAAATTAAAACAGATAAAGCTAATCCTGTTGCTTGCCCTGCAGAGTTAGTTAGAAGAGCTAACTGACGTAGGTAAGGGTTAGGGTGGTAGATAAAATGTTGAGATTAGGTTAAAGAGAGAGGCCTTCTGTGAGCTCTTAAAGCTGCCAGTATCACTCAGCAAGGTTTCAGCTTTCTCTGGCTTTCTGCTTTTCATGTGCAGAAAATAGGTGCAAGTAATCTTCCTGGTCCTGCACAAATACAAATCTAAATGAAAGTCTTGTTTATTTATTGCCAGATATGGCTAATTACTTTCTAAGGATGCCAGAATTTCTCTGTAAAATGGATTTCTCATGTCCCACCTCCTTCATTGTTAACCTTTAAATGAGCAGGCTTTGCTTTGCACATTGAAGAAGTTTACCTGCAGGAAGATCATGTTGCTCAGCTGAGGAGTACTAACATGTATATGTTGAATATGCTTCTCCACTTTCTTAAACAGGCTTTTTTTCTCCTTACCAGTAACAAATTCTCTTAGACAAATTACTTTTTCAGCACAGCGGGTTGGTGATGGTTACTGTCTGAACTCTAGTGCAAAATACTACTTTAAAAAACCCAACCAACAAACAATCAAACAAAAAACACACCACAAAGCTGTTATTAGAGGTATGAGGAAAGAGAAGATACTCGAGTTTCTTCTGACTACCTCTAGAGTTTCTTCCGCAAGATACTGTAACAAGACTCAGAATAGAAGACAGTCTTGTACTGTTTCTGATCACAGTTTAAAAACAGCATTTGAAATGTCTCAGGCTTTTCTGAATCATACCATCTGTTTCATGATAAATTTAAGCATATTTAATCTTCATTTTTTTTAGATCACAAACTTACATTAAAAAGCAGTCTCCTTTTTCTTTCCTTAGTCATATCTTGTGAATTCCAAGCATGCATTTAAATCTATGCAGTTTAGGATAAGCAAGCAGTATCAGTAGGGTGCGGAGTAATAGGTAAAGTATAAAGGTTTTTGGATTAAAATTGTGTAGATTGAGCATACAAACATATGGTTGTTTTAGGTCAGGCCGTCTAAGAGGTGATTCAATTATCATATCCACACGTTGTCTCCAAAATTTACAAGAAAGTAAAGTCTGGGCTAGCTGCAGCTCAGAGATAATTAAATCCTGGCTTGTTGGCAAGATTTGTCAGGCTTTGTATGTCAGCTCAGTTTTAAGGTTTCAGATTCATTGCAAGCCCAAGGTCTTAAAAAAAAAAAAAAAAGTGATAGCGTACCATATCCGAAGAGCAGAGAAACATCAAAGGCCTGAATCAGTACTCTTTTCAAACAGAGTTTAAGTGGAGCTAATGCTACACAGGAAGGAGAGATTAGCGGACAGAAAAATTCCAGTTAATTAAATGTAACTGAAAATCTTGTTAACAAATATCAAAATTATTGTGGGTGATCGTACATCCAATACAATATACAATATTGTATACAAATCCAGTACAATGTAATCAAAAGACTGTGCTCCTTTAAAGAACTCTTGAGACACTGAAGTTTATGGTGTGTGTATATTAGGCATGGTAGAAGAAAAAGGTGAGAGTTTGATAGCAAGGCAGTACAGATGTTATTTAGAGTTGAAGGTTTCTCTCTGGTGATTGTTTCCTTCATTAAGCCATGCAGATGAAAGAAATTCTGGATTATGTAGATGAGCATCAGCACAAGGTCTGTCAAAGAGGATGAACTTGGAGTGCAGCTTCTGAGAATAAATAATTTTACCTTGACATGCTTAAGAGTTACCGTGTGTGGCCTTCCTCACAGCTTGTGGGCTACCATGTTTTAGTGCTGTCACTAAGACAGCTTGCAAGGCCGGGGCACAGCACACAGCGACTTCCAGGGGAATCTTGGACTTTTTGTGTGGAGGAAATAAAGGAGAGCTTGACTTTTACTTTTTTTTTTGTTTTGTTTTTTTTTTTGTTTATGATGTTGTCATAGCTTGTTATTTATAGAACAGCAGCAAATAAGAGATTGAAGAAGTGTGCATTTCTGACATGAGGAGTGTCCTTGGTGGCATAGAGGCATGTAAGAGTCAGCTCTGGAGCTTTTGTCCTCAGCTGTGCTCTTTGGGCATACTGGGCAACAGCAAGGGCTTGTGCCTCTGGTTTGTTTGAGGGCTGCCGTGAGATCCTTTATTATATGAGTCCTGTGTAGGTACAGGAGGTTTGCCATGTTTGCATTTAGAAGGCAACTTTAAAAATACATAGGTGACAACTATTTTGGGCATTTTTGAAATTCTCTCAAGTCACCCTACTTCCTGACCCCTTCTTTAGTATTCAAGGTTGTTTTGGAAGAATGATGAAAGCAAATGGAGGCCACATTCTTTTATTGTGTACAGACAGTTTAATAGTTTAAATTTGCTTCTCTATTCCAGCATTTCATCATACTTGGAATAAGGGTAGTGTGTATAGGACACATTATATTTAAACTTTTATTCATAGATTGAATGGAACATGTTTGTGTAAACACATGTGCAAGCTTAGTGATTTGCTCATTCTTATCTGTTATATATATATAAAATGCTTGTGTTACAGTTTGAGTTCACTGACATGAGAAACTAAGCCCCATGCATATATTGCTCCATTGTTATTGTTGAGTTGAACATTCAGTGACTACTTTTTAAATTTAGAACCTGGTAAGTTTACTTCTTTTTTTTGGAAGGCAGCTGTCTGAGCATAAACCTTGATTGTAGTTCCAGAGCTGGCTTGGGAAGGGATAGGCTCTAACGTGAGTTAAAAGCCTCTGTTTAAAATGTAATAATATGCATGATAGCTTATGGAAGCTATTGCATGCTGGAAAATGAAGTCTATTTAATAATAGTCTTTTCAAGTGAAGATCAGTTTATTCATCTTAGAGTAATTTTCTACTGGAATTTCTAATCCCACAGGGTTAGAGTTGGGCCACAGAAGTCAAATAAATATCTCTAATATTTTTCTGTCATTCTCACCAGGTTTCCAGAATAAAAATAGGGTTGCAATCCTGGCAGAACTAGACAAGGAGAAGAGAAAGTTACTTATGCAAAACCAGTCTTCCACAAATCACCCTGGAGCCAGGTATTTTATGTTCTTAGACCTGTTGGGACATCACTGATTGCATCAAGGAAAAAAAAAAGCCAAACAGCTAGTGAGCTGTAAATGTATATAAATACTTAACAGAAGTGTTTTCTGACCATCTTTAATACCAAGGCAGAGGGACATTGCTCTTTAGAAACATGTTAGTATTTAAAGTGGTTCACATAGCATGAATTTTGGCTTCTATCATTTCCATTTGAGAATGAGAGAAGCTGATATGCTTACTCAAGTGTATTAAATTCGACCATAAAGAAAAATCAGGAAGCAGACACTGAGAAAACCTTTCATTATTAAGCTGAAATGCTCTGGGGAATGGAAGTAGCAGACCATTAGGTTCAGGATTCTGTGTGCTTAGAGAAGAGCAATTACAGCAGGAGTGAGTTACTCTTGAAACTCCCTATGTGCAGGAAAACAGTGTATGTTATAGCAGATAATCCTGTAAAAGATGCTGTGTTGTAGGGATGATTCTGCACCATAAAGTGTAATAGTCTAATCTGAGTTGAAGGGTGTTTCTGGATGTCTCCCATACAAGACAAGAAGATTAGAGTTTTGTCATAAATCAGTAACTAGAAAATCACACAATAATTTATGTGGAGAAATTGACATCCTTAAACTTTGGGGTTATGTGAGTGCAGTGCCTCGTTCTAGACACCGTGTAACACACAACACCTGTACGAGAGACAAATACTCTGACTACAGTCTGAGTGCTGCCCCTGTCTTTTCTTCTGAGAGATTCCACGGCATTTTTAATTCCTTCATAATGTCAAAAAACATGCAGAATACTTGAAATTTCCTGATGTAGACTTCTGAGTGAGGTAAGAAGTTACTATTAATAACTTCATGTGGTTATTGCTGAGCAAAATTGTTGGAAAGAAAATCAGAATATCATACTGTTACATACAGCTCCTGGCAACAGTGTTTCAGTGCTTCATTGTAAGTCTGACAGAGCTTCAGGTAGTGCTTGTTTACTCTCTTTTTTCTTTAAGGAAATACAACACTGTATTCTAGTGAGCAGAATTAGAATTTTCTAGTTTTGAAGGTGGACATGGGTGGAACGTACAATGCAGCAGTCAGACTCTCTGCTTTGGTGTGATTTTTTGGTGTGATTTTTCTGATGTGTGACTTTTGAGAACCTGACAGTTTTTTGATGTTGTGTCAAAGGTCTTGGACCACAGAATTGTCAGAATTGAGACCATAAAATTGTGCAAACTTGACCAGAAGAGCTTGATGTACCTAAAGCACAGCAGTGGCAGGGACAGCATAAGGGTGAATGGATTAATTGATTTCTGGACTTGGCACGTGAAAATCCTGTATCCAAGAACAGGAGACCTCTTTTGAAAAATGTCAGCTTATGGTGGAGCCTTAAGCTTATGTACAGAAATCATATTGAAAAGTTAGAGAGTACAGATGACAAATTGCAAATTAAATACCCCCAAAATCACTGAAAATACTGTGTTTTAAATAAACTGAGTAGTACTCTTTTCCAGCAGTGAAACTTATCATAATACTTGCCATAAGCAAAATTTTTTTCTGAATTGTTTAGCTTTTCTTATGCATTTGGGCATAGATTTGGCTGTGCATCTTTTCATGAGCATGGTTGCTTCTCAGAAACTGATTTACCAAATCAGCAGTTGACATTGAAACTGCTGGTAAAATTCAGTTGATGAATTTGCTTGGAATCCTTGTCATTTGTACTTCTTTTTCTGTTATTGGTAAGAGCAGGATTTTCAGCAGCAGTCTCCAGTGACAGTTTCAGAGGTAGTTGAGAATTGTCTGGTGATTCAGTTCTAATGGCAACCATCACCTGATTTCCGTGTATCTTTATATATAGAGTTGGTGGTGCTTTTTGTCTTCTTTTTGGTTTAATAAGGCAGACAAGTCCTAAGGTATAAAAGACAAGAAAAAAACATCAGTAAATTTTAATTTGAAGCCTTATGCTGCAGTGAGATACGCTAAATCAGTTTTAGGTACTCCAGGCTGTTCCCAAAGAATCATTATTTCAGTTAACATCAGTAGGAAGCTCCTTTATCATAGGTAGTGAGCTGCTTCCCCCCACCGAAGACCTGTTGTTGTACTGAAGTCTGCAGAGCTCTTGTTAGTGCTCCTGTTTGTCACAGTTGTTTAGAACAGTCACTCAGTGACTGAGTAGTGGTGAAAGCACAAAGCTGCTGTAGAAGTTCCTTGCATTGTTGAACACTGCACCCCAGTGGTTTCATTGACTTCAGTGGGACTCTACCCATGGGCGAAATCCACAATCGGCTTCAGGTTTAGTTTGGCAGGAATTGTTTATGATGGCTCAAATTGTACAGCTGTGGTCACTCCATCTACTCTTTTTTTTTTCTCTTATATTTACAGATAGTAATTCCAAACAGTAACTGACAATTGTCAAGCTGTGAGTGAAATGAGAGCTCAGGAAGTCATCGTATCCACGGCTAGAATGGCAAGAAAACATGTTTTGGCTGTGGTCTGTGTCATACCATCTTGTTCTTTCTTGCAGCATTGCACTTGCAAGATCACCTCTGAATAAGGATTTCCGTGATCATGCTGAGCAACAGCACATTGCAGCACAGCAGAAGGCTGCACTGCAGGTGAGCTGATAAAGAGTTCAGTTTGGCTCTGTTTAGGTGTGCATCCCTTCAGAGAGCAGCCCTGCTCCTAGAGATATTGAAAAGCCCCTTTTAGAGATCAGGTATCTCTCATTTCTGTATTTGTCAAAGTAAAGTCTCATTTGTTATGATGAAACATGTCCTTTGGCGTGGAGAGCTCCAGCCAGCCCCACAGCCATGTCGTTGTGTCTCTGTTGAACTCCCCCCAGTTTGTGTCTCAGACTGAGCTCAGATGGCTCCCCTTGGCCTGCTGGCCATGCTATTGCTGGTGCAGTTCACTCTGCCAGTTACCCTTGATCACTCCAAGGGCACACTTAAAAGCTCAGGCTGAATTTGAGATCCAGGAGGGCTCTTCCCTACTGGTGGAGGGAGGGAATGTGAACATCTAACTTGCTGGAGTCCAGCCTTTGAACCGGGAAGGGGTATGTAGGATTTCACAAAGGTGTTCCAGAGCCATACAACAGCTGCCTCCCTCAGGTGAGCAATGAGTATCACATCACATGAGCAGAATCCTGGTGTCCCATGTTTGGGATGGTGTCTGGTGGCACTCTGTGTAGCAGCTGTCATAAACCAAGAATTGCAAGTTGGTTATGGAAGGGAGTGGAAGTGGCAACATGGGGTCTAGGCAACATGGGGTCTAGGCAAAGAAAAGCAATCAGTTGATTTGCACCACCTCCATGGGGTTGGCTGAAAAGAGCAGAAGATAATGTCCAAATTAATTGCTTTGATAGGCGCTATTCTGATGTAGCTGATCTAAAATGCTGGGTTTGAATTTGACTATCAGAATTAAGGAGCAAACCGGGAGAAATAAATAAGTAATGCTGCAGAAGCCATGAAGTCTTAAATCATGTCAGTGCTGCAGGGAGAGATGCTTTAACAAATGCTTTTCTCTTTCCAGCACGCACATGCACACTCCTCAGGATACTTCATAACTCAAGACTCTGCATTTGGAAATCTTATTCTTCCTGTCTTACCTCGACTTGAGGCAGAATGAGGAATGTTGTTTGCCTCAGAAATTCAAGATCGATTTTTGTCCATAGCAAGAGCTGTTTGACCTTTTAATTTCTTTATGTATCTTAAGACCTACTTTTTTTCTGGGTTCTTGCAGATGCCATTCAGGAGTGTGAGCTCTAGTGATGGGGAAATAGTGTTGAAAATTTTTTATCCTGTATTTCTGTTCCTCTGTTGGGTCAAAGTCAAATGCAAGACTTTTCTTGGAGTTTGAAGTGCACAGGGTTTGCTATTCCCTGTTTCAGTGCTTCCTTTAAATAAATGTCCAAACCAGAGTTACCAAAAGATGCACAATCTGACAGCATTTGCGTTTCTTTTTATTATGTACAGGTATGATTTTTGTAATGAATAATGAAAATTATTTCTGTCCATCAAAACAGACACGAATTTGTCAAATGCATCAGCCAGTCTTCCTGTCCCACCCTCTCCTATGCAGAAACATTTCTACTGTACTGTTTTTACCATTATAGCATCATCTGGTCTTAAGTCCTTAGTTACAGTGTGCCTGCCTCTTACCTTGCTTTGTGAAATGTGAAAATTAATTAAAGTGGGGAAAAAAGTAAATGTTTCTAACAGTCTTTTTATGGACAAAATATCAAAACTTCTCTGGACATCTCAGATGGAAAGTGTTGTCTGCAAAGACAATTCCATTTAAAAGGTCAAATTTTTCTAGTTATGCATTTTTCAAGACTCAGTGTGTTTTATTTTTGTTCACTTTTTTCCTTGGTGTTTTTATCTGTGGTAAACAATCCCAGCTTCCTGCTGGAAGAAAATCTATTGATCTTAAGGTAAATTATTTTGGAACTGTGATTGTGCTACCAGGATAAAGTATCTTAGAGTGAAAAACAGTCCTTACTTAGACTTTCTTATATCTCCACAGCTTTGCTTATGCAGTTATGCTACGACACTGATTGCATTGCCTATGGAGGCAAGTTTTAGAAAACAGAAAAGAACAGGAAAACTTACATGAGAATGATAAATCAGAAAGCATCTGTTAAACTGGTGCCCATTTGAAACAGCTCTGTCCTTTGCAGAAACTCAGCTGTCCCTAAGTTTCCAGGGTTGTAATTGGCATTTCCTTAAGGACATCTAGGGTATTCTGTTTATATATGCAGGAGATTGCCTGAACCAAATAAGCACTACTGAACTATCTATTCATATTTTACTGTTAATATTTGCAGTAATCATGAATACAGAACAACTACCAAGAGATGGGTGCAGGTATAAGGAAAATGCCACTGCTTTCATATACCTCAGCTGAAAATAGACCTTTGCAGAAACCAGAGCATACTGAAACATTTTCAGGAAGGAGAATCTTCTAGACCCAGCCTGGTAGAGCTTAAAGATGTGCAATTTTAACAACTATTCATACCATATGCTTTTTTTTTTCTGGGTTCTGATGTGATGAGTCAGGGGAATGATGATGGTTTTTGTGGGCACTGGAGAAAGAAGTCACTTCTATTTTCTGTGGTTGGCTCTGTGTAACTTTTTAATTACCAATTATGAAATTACCATATGAAATTGTCCTGTCTATTCGTTATTCTGCAGTGTGAGCTGCACATCTTATTAGATGCTTTGAAGAAAAAGATGTGCAAATCTCAGTGTAAAAGAGACAGCTATGAATCTGTCCAACTTGGAAACATACAGAGACAAAGATGTTAAAGCAGATGCAGCAGAAAGCATGGATTTTATATTTGAGTTGAATGAACATTAAAGGAGCTCTGTGCCACATATTTGAACTATAGAATCTTTCAGTATCATCATACAGACTGCAAATGATCCAGGCAGTGCAACAGCAATCATCTTTCTCCCTTGGCAAGTTATGGTTGCTCCACTGAAGGAGTTAACACTTGTTGGCTGGGTTATTTTCACCTTGGGTATTGAAAGACCTGCTTTTGGAAATTCAGGGCCTGAGCTCAAGAATGAGGAATGGCGGGTGGGGGAATGAATGCAGCTCTTGTGATATTTTAAACTTATAATGTTTCAAATTATTCTTTGCAATTGTGAGGGTCTTGGTGATATATGTAGATAGGATTAACTGTCAAATACACAAATTACATATATGGAAGCGCCTGTCTTAAAATGACAGATTCAAGCAATTACTGTCAGATGGATCAGTTTTTCTTGCCACTCTTTTTTTCCTTGTATTAGCAGTATTGGATACATTAATCTATCCCTATGCAGTAACTTCAGCAAAACCCCTTCTCTTGGAACCACATGTTCAAATTCAAATTATTACCAGTTAGAATAAATGTGAACCAGGAAGTATCTGGGATGTGTTGCTTCTAGCAGTAACCACTAAGTTGATCACATGAAAACTGAAGGCTTGTAATATAGTGCTGACCTGTGTGCCTCAACACACGTGACTCACGTAATTTTATTTAATTTGCTACAATAGAAATTGGCCTTTCCACTCACCACAGGTTGGTGTAGTGTCTGTGTCAGAGCTGAATGGTGGGGTGGAAGCAGCTCATAGACTGGGCTAAAGCACCATGAGATCAGATTTTCTAAGTGATGGCAGAGTTGTAATCTCGCAAGAAGAGATGAGGTAAAGGGATCAAAGATTTTCTGAAGCACTAAAAGAATTGAACCACAGCTTGTTTCTTAGCTCTGTCATCTTTTTCTTCCACTAGACAAGTTTTGACATCTTTGTTTTCCAAAGTCACCCACCATTTCCCCACCACAGTAGCCGCTGCAAAATGCTCTGGTTTAACTCAAGAAGCTTGGCCTGTAAAACCATGTGTGATTTCCTACCATAGTGGTTTTACTCTCCTTTTTCCTTAGTATTTTCACTCTGCTGAACTCCTAGAAGTGCTGGTATGAAACTGATCAATTATAACTGATGTTGTATTGGACTTTACATCATAACACAAAATACTCAGTGAAACAAAATAGTGGAAAGAAATTACAGCCCCTTGTGCATCTTGCCTAGATCTTCCTAATTGCTTTGATGTGCTCAATTAGTTAAAATGATAAATGCTGGTTTTGCCTTCATGTGCTTTCAACAGTGTTCAAGCGAGCCAGTAATTTTCTAGTCCTGTGGACACAGCTGGGTAGCACTGTCCATGGCAAGGATCCTTGTCTGAGGTACACACTTTGGATGTCTCTAGGCTTTTATTAAATCACTTTTGTGATTTAAAGGCTAGAGGTCACTTACCGTCTTGCTACATAGCAGAGAAGTTAGTGCTCCAACCCAAGCCTTGAAGAAATGCATGAAGAGGCTAGGCTTTTCCCAGCCTCTTCGGAGAAGAGGAAAGTGTCAATTGTCCACCAGTTTACAGGGAACATGAGCTTGAACTGATGGAGGGAAATGCAGACAATGGCATCTTAAGAGTGCACATCTTTTATAGCTTCTCTTACAGAATCTGCAGTGTTGTAGGGGGAGAGCACAAGGGCTGAAGGAGGGAATGAGCCTGAAACAGTGTGGTTATGCGATCACAGACATGAGCAGGCAGTGACTATCTCAGTGCATCCTCTTAAGCATTACGGTAGCTAATTCATTCAAAATCAGGAGAATGGCTGAGAAAGCAACTGGATGATTCCTGATGGTCAAATTCATGGCAGTGACAACTCCTTCTGGCAGATCAGCTCAAATAGCAAGCCTTGAAGGACAGTCAGTCAGTCCTTCTGCTGAAATCAAAGCTCATTCCCATGTTACAGGTACGTGAATCTTTAGGGAAAAGTTAACAGAAGACAGCTGTTCTGCTGGATGGCTCTGTGCACAGACACCTCTGAAGGAGGAGGTGGAGAATGAGGGAGAGATTGTCTGACACTCAGCTGGAAAAGTCCACCTGGCCAGAGCTCTGTGTGCCTGATTTACATTTTGCTAACACACAGGGAAAATTCTATAGCACCTGCCAGTAACACCCTTGTGTCCGGAAAGCCTGGTAATCAGTATGTTCTGAAACACTTTTGGAGGGCTAAAATACAGAGCTTTCTGTGGTGAATGGTAACTTTGACAACTAATCAGTGAAGTAGTTTTCACATGCTGTTAGGTTAATAGCTTGCTCAGTGAGTTTCTGCATTTATTGGAAGCACAGAGCGTGACCCAGGTATTTTACAAAGACAATACCATCCTGTTTCCTAGTTCTTCCTCCTCATAGAAGGAACCAAATTATAAATGTGTCTGGGAAAATGATCTTTACATTCCTTCCTTGAATACACGTTTTTTAGAGAGAAAGCTTAATGGATTAAATAGAGAAGGCTTGATTGTTTCGGTGAGACTTTATGAAAAATTACGTTAAACTACTGGTGAGGAAATTATTTTCCTCAGCTATTGCGCTCTGCCAGGTTCATTCAGGTATTGAATTATGCAAGGTGGTGACCTTGTTCTCAATCTGCTTTCTTTAAGGCCTCTAATGTGGATACTTTGGTGTCAGTAGATGCTTCTTTTTTCATGAAGATTTTGTAGATAGGGTCTGAAAGTTGTTCAGAATATACCTGGAAAGTACAAATCACAAGCTTACATGCGTTACCTTCACTATGCATGTACATTACACATATTAGCATGTTATACAACTGGGTGGTGGTGCATAAACTTCAGTAGTAAGTTCATTGTAAAAAATATGTTTAGATTTACAGGCGCCTTTACATCTTCACAGTCTTTTTCAGTGTGTTACTTGAATCCTCACATGAGGCAAACTAGATTACTGTTACCTTCATTTTTGCAGATGAAGAAAAATGCTAAGGGGTTCCAATGCCTGCAGCTGCACAGAAAGCCGATGGACTTGTCAGGATTAGCTCCTGGTTAGTCAGCTAGTGTGAGGCGTCATGTGGAGAGTACTGCTCTGCATCCCACACCATCAGCTCTTCATCACCCCCTACTAGAAGACACAGGGCTCTTTGCTTTTTGGTTTGTCTTTGCTTTCATTAATAGCTAGTGCTTTAGCTTTGGTTTGGTTTTCTCTGTCAGATGGCGAAGACAACAGAGTTTGGGCCTTTTATGTTTAAAATTTTGAGTAGGAGAGGTGGAAACCAAAAGAGAGCAATGTTACATCCTGTGTGTTTGGAAAGAGCTTTCTTTCTTGTGCTTTGTTCTTTGCAACAGTGATCAGATAAAGTTGCCCATTGTGCTGGGGGTTTAGCCATCACTGCATGTCCTAAGTAGAGATATGTTAGAGCATCTGCCTGGATGACTGTAGATTTTATCCATCTGTCAGTCAGTGGCCACTTGTGGAAGTGGGAATGGCCAGATGTCGGCCCAAGCCACAGCTGCTGTCTTGGTATTTCTCTGCCAGCAAGACTGCACGGCTGGCTGACAACTGGGATGGGTCAGAAGGACTGAA